GGGGGAGGGGGCGGGGTAGGCATCGGGGAGACGGACCAACAAAGCCGCGTCCCGCCCCACCCCACAAAGGGCCCAAGGGTCATGGCCCAGACAACACGCCAATTAGCAAGGCCGGCATGAAGCGGCTGCGAGGGACTGCCGGGGACTGCCTCAAAGGCACATGAGCTTCCCATCTTGGAGGTTAATGCACTGCTACAGTGTGCCGAGTCCTCGCTCTTTCCGTGTCTTCTTTGTTTTTGCAGAGTCGGACCCTGAATGCGGGCTCTGGCCGCCCCGTGCATCCCTCGCCCCGTTTTTCCACCCTGCCAGCCGGGCCCGGCCCGCGCGGCCCGCTGGCCGAAGCGCCCGACGTGTGGGTGCTTCCGACTTAAATGGCCATTATTTGTACCTCTGACCTTGGCGGGGGTCTCTTCCACGGCGACGCTGGGGGAAGGGGAGGGGGACAGAGATAAAAGGGAGAGAGAGCAGCGAGCAACTTGGAAAGTCGATTAGGTGACCTGCTTGAGGCAGGTGTCGGTGCTTCTCTCATAAAAGATGGACGCCGTTCGACTCGCACCGCCCGCCGCGCTTTCTGCTGGCCCGTCAGAACAGCGCCCTCCTCGCCCCTCCCCTCCTTTCCCATAAATCCCTCCACCGTAAATCCCCCCCTCCCCTCCCCGGCCGGCGTGGCGCGTCACGTTCATCGCGGCGTGCGAGCCTTATTGCCGCAAACCTGTCACGGGCGACACCTCCACCTCCCAGACGGTGTAGTCACGCCTCTCACGCGCGGCCTGCCAGCCGCCCCGCCACCGGGAAATTCAGAGAAGTGTTCATCAGGGTAAATGTTGGGGCCTCTGAGTTTGTGAGAGGGCGTGTGAGCAGGAGGAGGGTTCTTTTCTGTTCGGGGATTGTTGTTGCCGTCGTTGTCGAAAGCAGCCCGGGGCTCACGTCGACTGCGTGGGGCTCTCCGCCTCCACCTGCACGACAAAATGCTGCGACTCGCTCCCCCTCTTCGCGGAGCACTAACTCAATTTGAATGCGACCAACCGTTTCCCCCGCCGGGCCGCGAGGGGGTGGGGGAACGGGTGCACCGTCTCCGAGGACGACGGCGGCGACGTGAGGCCGCGGCCAGCGGCCGGCCCGGAATCGAATGCGGTATCAGCAGCCGCCTCATTCCGAAGAACAGTGCTTCCGGTTCTCTCTCAAGGGAAAAAAACTCCAGCCACATTTGTACACCGAAATTCATCAAAGATGTAAAATGTACTGAAATTCATTCAAATTCATCGAAATTTGACTGCAACTCATCGAAATTTGACTGAAATTAGTTGAAATTCATAGGATTTGTACACCGAAATTCAGCGATTTCCTCCTGTTCTCTCTCGCACTCTTGGACGAAACAATGTGGCAGTGCGACGATGAACGAATATATGCAGTGAACACGTCTTCCCCGAGAACAGAAAAACCGCCGCCCCCGGCACTCTCCCCGCATTTTCGTTTCCCATTTTCCTCCTCTTCCTTTGTTGGCGTCGCGCACCACCTGCCTCGGGCGGCACTTTCTTCCAATCGCTCCGAACAGATCGGGAATAATCCTCGAGGATGCGCGATGCGCGTATCCATCCGATCAGACGGTGTGGGTCTATCCGGCATCATTGTGTGCCCCAGTCTCGAGCTTGCTTTCGATCCGTCCTGAAGTATATATAGAGTGAAATACTGGAGGATGCGTTCTCCTGTGTGTGAGTGTGTGTTTTCCTTTAGGAGGTGAAGAATCTCGAGAACATATTTAACAGCGATAGAATTGCAAATGGGGGTATTATTCAAATCGCGGGAGGCTAACCACAGTCATTGATACTTCTTTCGAGCCAATCGGAGAGGTTTGGACCCAGGTTTGATTCCCAATGACTAATGTTACCACCAAAACTTTTATTTCGACTTCGTTTTAGCGGGTGCTTTGCGAAATACATATGACACCAACTTGGATCCTGACCTAGGTTTGAATACAGTAAGCGTCAAACAAAAATGTGGTTGGCCAGCATTTAAAATGCACGGGGCGGACCGAAGTTGCCGAACCAAACCGCCACTTCCCCTGTTTTCTTTTTTCCTCCGGGCTTCGCCTGTATCCGCGCTTTCCCGGGAGATGCAAGAACAAGCAGCCGCCTGGCATACCGCTCGCAGTCTGGCTCAGGAGAGCGACGCGTCGGGCGGACAGCGCGACTGACGTTTTCTCGGATGAATTTTGCACGGATCCCCTCGCAGGCCAAGCGGGAGCACCAGACATAGCAGGAGCACCAGGCCCAGCAGGAGCACCATGTCAAGGAGGAGCACCAGGCCAAGCAGGAACACCAAGTCAAGGAGGAGTACCGCCCAACAGGAGCACCATGTCAAGGAGGAACATCAGACCAAGCAGGAACGCCATGTCAAGGAGGAGCACCAGGCTCAGCAGGAACACCATATTGTCTAGTCAAGGAGGAGCACCAAGCGAAGCAGGAGTACCAGCCGGGCCGCCATGTGTGGTCTAGCCCTTGGCATACGATCATGTGTGGTCTAGCCCTTAATGGTAATGGTAATGCGAGATAGGCACACCGGGGACACCACCGCGCCGCGTGTTGCCTACCCGTCCCACTGCAGGCGCTTCAGGCCGTCTTGGCGTCCCGCCGCCGGGGAGACGGGCGGCGGAAGTGGGGGAATCGAGTTTCGTCACTGTCAACGCCTCGGGCGGCTTCACAGTGCGGTTTCGCGTTTCGGCTGGTTGATCGCCAACGACACCAGCAAGTACGCCAGCCTGGCCAGGCTTCTTCCCTCGCTCCGCGCCACCGTGCCGCTGCTGCAAGGTGCGCCTTGGTAGGTTGCAGAGAAAGGGAGAGAGGGAGTGGGGCGCTCTGCTAGCACTGCGATTACGCCAATTGGAGGAGCCTTCAAGGGGCACCTTACACGGCCAATTGAGCGCAGCAGTGCCCGGCAGTGCCGCAGCGAGGCGGGCGAGGCCAGGCCAGACTGGGTAAGGGGCGCCGTCACTCACAGCGTACTGGACGACGCAGGGGTCAAAGGACACACACACACACACACACACACACACACACACACACACACTACACCAGGAAGGGAGGGCGGCGAGCGTGTCCCCGGACAGTCATATCGCAACGCCAGGCAACACAAGGGTTTGGATCCACTCGGCAGTTTATGGGCGGGGCGCAGCAAAGGTGTGTGCGTCAGTGTGGGTGTGGCTCGAAAGAAACAAAAACACACACAAAGAGAGAGAGAAAGGGAGGGGGGAGCTAGCGCACGTAGTCTTCATTTGGAGAGCGTTTTGAAGGGGCCGTAGCGCATAGGCACCGCAGCACAGGCTGCCAGGACTCCCTGTCGGCTGTCGACGCTGCTGGCAGCACAGCACAACCGAGCGGCTGCCAGTAATAATGAGAGGGGAAACCGGATAACTCTCCGTTCCAGGTGGCTTCATTTTCTCTGTTGGAAAGTTGGTTAAAGTCGCCTCTCTGCTTTTTTGCCGCTTACTCCCCACCCCTCCCCCCAAAAAAGTTGGGGCAGGCCAGCGGCGAATGGAACGCGGAAAAAAATAACCAATAACCGGAGAGATGGCACGATTTTGCGGTGGGACTGCAGTGTGGCGACGGCGTGTATGCCATCAGGTGGCCCCTCAGGGGGACCGCGTCAACGCCGCCTGCCTCCACCACCCACTCCACACCGCGGCCCTAATCAACTATTGTTGCCCGTCTGCACCGCACGGCGGGCTGCCTGGCTGGCTGCCTGGCTGGCGGGCCCACGACGTGCCACGCCAGTCGCTCGGCTCTCTGTCAAGCGCTGTGGCAATCCCATTCCCGGCAAGAAATGAAATTTACCGAATTGCGCGGCTGCTTCGTTACCTCAGCGAGGGCTGGCTGGGTGGCCGGGGGGCCGAACGGGGCGGACGATGAGTAGGGGGAGGGGGACGCGCCCATCGCCCACGTCGCGACAAATTCGCTCACGTCACAAGGACTCAGCTGTCCCTCCCCGTGACAGGGCGGCACGCACTGCTCTTAGCTTCCATACGGAAAACGTGCTTCCGGCCAAAGTGGGGCAGGGAGTTGTCCCGCCGCGTCGTGCGGGAATTCCGTTAGACTCACAAGACTGCCACTTCCCGCCGAGCGACGCACAGTGTGGCCGTTCTAGTCTAAATGTCATCTCTTTCGCGTCGACATCCATTGGCGGCGTCGCTATGACGACCACGCGAATCGAATCGAGACGCGAGGCTCCTCACGCCGTCGCAGCTTCGCAGCGGCTGAGGCCCAATTCGATAATATCGAAAGCGCCGCTCCCGGCGCGCCAACTGCACCGAAAGCTCTCCTCAGACTTTTCAAAGGCAATCGGTGTTCGATTTCAAAGTCAGAATGTTGATTTTCAAAAATTGGCACGAGGACGAAGCAAAGTGAAAAATACGCGATTTCTCGACACAGTGAAAGGTCCACGAAGCTTTCGCTTCGCAATGCTAAGAAAACAAAGTCATTATGAAATCTATGAAGTGATGCTTCCTATCGTGAACAGGCCGTTCGTATACAAAGCACATTTTTATGACGAAAAGCAACTTGAAAATTTCCCCATTTCGTAATTATGAAGCAGACGCTTCGGGGACTTCTTTGATTGCATTGTGAGTGGCTGCGCAGCCCTGTGGCGCCACGCCGCGCCACCAGCACGTCCCGCGCCTCGCTGCGAGCGGGGCGTGGCATAGCGTAGCACGGCATAGCGTAGCATGGCGCAGCACAGAGCCTGGAGTAACGGCTCGGCGCGAGGCGTGCCCGGCGTGCCGCGCTCAAGGGGAGTCGGTGTCGTCCACCCGTCGCAAAATTGCCTTCATTGGCGGCATCGTCCTCACCCCGCTCTGCCTTTGTGTTGCAGGCCATGACGCCGCGCGCCGAGGCGCGGGCCCCCGCGGTGGAGCGGCCGGCTCGCGGCTCACACCCCTCCAGCCGGGCCGGGACGCGGGCCGGGTCGCCGCCGAGACAGTCGTCCGGGGTCAAGTGAAGGCCGCCGCCATGGACCTGCTGCTGGTGGAGCCCGGCTCGGGGTCCACGACGACGGAGGTGGACGTGGGGGACGGCGCGGACGCCTTCCTGGCCGGGCTGACGGGGCCCACGCTGCTGTGGGCGGACGTCAACTTCACGCCGCCCAGCATGTTCACGACGGCGACCCCCGTCGCGTCACTTGTGGACAACGCCAGCGTGGTGCTGGTGTCGTCGGCGTCCGCCACGGCGTCCGTGAGCCGTGAGGACGCCGTCGACGTGCAGCCGTGGCACGCCCTGCTGCTGCTGTGCGTCAAGGGCAGCATCATGGGCGTCATCATCTTCGCCGCGCTCTTCGGCAACCTGCTCGTCATCGTGTCCGTCATGCGGCACCGCAAGCTACGCGTCATCACCAACTACTTCGTCGTGTCGCTCGCGCTGGCCGACATGCTGGTGGCCATCATGGCCATGTGCTTCAACGCCAGCGTGGAGCTCACGGGCGGGCTGTGGCTCTTCGGCTACTTCATGTGTGACGTGTGGAACTCCATGGACGTGTACTTCTCGTCCGCGTCCATCCTGCACCTGTGCTGCATCTCGGTGGACCGGTACTACGCCATCGTGCAGCCGCTCGACTACCCGCTCATCATGACGCAGGCCCGGCTCGGCGTCATGCTGGCCGTGGTGTGGTGCGCGCCCGCGCTCGTCTCCTTCCTGCCTATCTTCCTGGGCTGGTACACCACGGCCGACCACCTCGAGTACCGGCGCCTGCACCCCGACACGTGCGGCTTCACCGTCAACAAGCCCTACGCCGTCGTGTCCTCGTCCGTGTCCTTCTGGGTGCCGGGCGTCATCATGATCTGCATGTACTACCGCATCTACATGGAGGCCGACCGCCAGGAGCGCATGCTCTACAGGTGAGAACGATCCGAACAAGGCCGCCGACCACTCATTCAGTTTGGTTTTTGTTTGCCACCGTTGGCTACCCAGTCTTGAAAGCGCTTGGGCAACTGGCCTATTCCCCTATTGTGCTTCCAAAATGTCACTGAACTCTTGATGTCTTGCGGTGAAAGCTGGCACCAAAATATAGAGGATCATCACTGATGATTTTGGAGTGGGGCTGGGCTAACAGTTGACTATCACAGAGGTCTAAACGAAAAATCGCGGCGACCAACTTCTGACTGCTGGGAGGTCTGCCGCGACCCAGCCCTCGCGATCTGGCATCCGTTTCGTGGACAAGCCTTACGCGGTGTAGGCGCGCTTGGCCCACCTTCGCCGCAGCGGCATCAAATTGAAACTTGAGTCAGGGATGCCTTAGCGCTTCAGCGGCCAAAGTCTTGGCGAGTTGCGAGCGGCTTACGCTGTTGTTAGTTGGGCGCAAGTCACAGGGCTCGGGAGGGGCCTCCTGGGCCGCACGGTTCTTCCGGAGAATTTCATGCAAGAGCGGAGAGGAACCGAAAAACAAGAAACGACGATAATATTAATAGTATAGTAATAATGCGCCTTGGATGTGCAGGCAGTCGAAATAATTTAATTCCATCAGCTGATGGCAGCGAAAGGAGTGGATATTGTCCGTCCTCTTCCCTCCCAAGCAAAGCGCACTCCAATCAAACGAAAGCCCACCATAAAACAAATCGGCAAGGGGATGAACGGAGAGAGGGGGGACCAAAAGGAGCAGCCCTCCCAGTGGGCCCGGGGGAGTGCCATGCCGCCCTGCGCCCTGGCAGCGTCTCTGCGGTCGGCTCGGCTTTTCTAGGCAGGCGAGGCGGAGTGCCGGTGTCAGTTTGCCCGCAGGCGCCAAGGCGGTGCCATGCCTTGCAACATCGTTAGAATCTTGTTTTTCTTCACCTTGTTGTTGTGGCTCTTGTTGCTATTGCCGTTGGCTCCAGGGTCAAACCAGGTGTGCCCCGACGCCCACGTTAGCTCTCTTTCCCTCCCACACACACGCACACAGTTCAGCAGGGCCTTGCCGCTCTCCTCTCGACGAAGCCAAATTATTTTGATACCCGCTTAACTAGGTAAACTCATTACGAAAGTTGCACGGTTGCAGGCGAGGGGGGCGCGCGGCCAGGCAGCCCCGCCCCGGCTTAGCCCGGCTGGGCCGCCACAGCCCGCAACCTTTTGTAAGTCACGGCTTGCGAAAGGCCAGGCGATGGGGTGGGGCGGGGCGTGGCGCGGGGGACACCGACACACGACGTCTGGCTTGCTATTTACGTCCGTGGGCCGCGCTGCGCCGCGCCACCCAGGTCACACACCCCGTCGCTGCACGCCCCAAGTGCTGTTTATCGAGTCCCCTTGGCGTGCAAACGCACGCCGCCGCCGCGCTCATCATGATGGAGGGATGGAAGAACGCGCCAACTTGCTTGTGACGGGACGAGCCCCGGCCAGACGCAGCCGGAGGCAGCCAGCCGGCAGTGTGTGCGTCGAGTTAGTATGCAGTGGCGGCGGCGGCCGAGGTGGGGGAGTGCCTCCGCTGGGGACGATCTAAATGGATGTTTGGTTGGCGTGCCGGCCAGGCCCAGCCCCATGCCTCCCCCTCTCCCCTTTCGGCCGGACTGCTACCGCCTGCCTTCCCTTCTGCCGGCGCTACCGCCGCCACGCCGAGGGCCGCTCACCTCCGGTTCGTTTTCATTATCCGGATTCGTTTTGTTTTGTTTGAAAACAGCAGGGTGCGCGATACGCTCCCCCCTTTTCGGGCCGCCCAGCGCCCCGCTGCCCAGCGCACATGTTGCGGTGCCCAAAGGCCCAAGGGCTGACGGGCTGGCTCCGGGCGGCTTCACTCCGTCTCTCTCGCGGCCCAGCGGGGCGCACTCACAGTGCGAGCGAGACCAAAGCACCTTTCAGCCAGCAGGGCTCCATTACGTAGGGGCCAAACGACACGGCTATTCAAAAGCTTTACCGGGAGAAGGGGGCGAGGTGTGAGAGTGTCAGTGTGTAGCCTTAGCAGCGCCGAGCCGGGCGACACTGAACACCCCGGGCGAGGCTAGAGCAGTGGGTGGCACACAGTCCGAAACAACGAGCCACACTCACACACAGCCGCTCGCGCATTCATCACACCAACACACACACAGCGCCAGGTGCGCCCGCCCGCCTACACATATGCGCGGCGCGCATGGGGTGGGGTGGGGGAGGCTCGGCGGCGCGCCCGAGAACGATGATGGCGACAACTGCAATAAGCAGCGTGCTTTCGGATGTAATGTGTATGTGGCGTGTGCTTACTTACCGCCCGTGTTTTTATTCCATCCGAACCGCCCCTCCAGGCTCCGCCTCGCTCCGCCCCCACGCGGCGACGCGGCGAGGACCACGCACGGTGGGGTGGGGTGGTCGCTGTGAAAGAGCGCTTTGCTCGGCGTCACCAGCCATCAGGAGGAGCCGCACAGTAAAAACATTTTGGCACAGTAAATGACGCCCCTGCAGGGTGAGGTGCGGCCTTGTTCGGCGGGCTGCAGTGGCCTTACAGGCCTACACCGGCGGGTGGCCCAAGTGCGTGTCGGGGAGGCGAGGACGAGGGCCCGGCAGAGCAGAACCACAAGGCCCCTGTACACGCGAAGTGGCTTTCCATGCGAGCCTTCAAGGAGAGGCAGCCAGAATGCCAGAATAGGACCTCCGGGGTAACCGACACCCTGGGCCACACCGACACTCAGCATAGGCCGGCCTCAGCAGGCTGTCCCCCGGGGCAGCCCACCGCGCGGCATCGCCACAGTATCTTACCCCGTCTCGCCGAATCGGATTCCTCCAGCCTCGCCGCCCTTCCACGCCTCCCTCATCCACTTCATTCATTAGCCTGATTCCCCCAGGCCGGCCGCGCCGGCAGCGGCGTCCGCGTTCACGCTTCGTTTCCCGCCGCCTCCGCAGCTGGAGCGGGCTGGAGTCAGGCTGGAGCCGCGCTGGAGCCTGGGGTCGGACGGCTGTGACAGGCTGTAGCTGGCTGAAGCTGCATCGGCCCGATGATGTGATGGAGATGGAGCGACCGTCGGACTGGCCGCGCTGGTCCGTCGGGCAGGTCCGTCGGGCCGCCCATCGACCGGCCGGTTTAACGACTGCGCCCCGACCTCCCCGACGGCCGCACGGCACCGCACGGCCTCCAAGGCGGGGGCGCGCGTGGCGCGGCCGCCACCCGGGCCCGGCCCGGCCACCCGTCTGAGCCCCAATATCGCCGCCACAGGGCAAAACCCGAACCCCTAAACCCCAGCGGGCCGGCGGGACGAGCACTGCTTTGAAAGCGGAGCAGCGCAGCGGCGGAGGTGGGTAGGATCACGGCGGCCTTGGCCACCGTCACGATCACCCCGAGTCCCGCCGCGTCCGCCGCAGCGGCGGGGAAATTCCCGCTTCCCGGCAATATTTCGCGGCGCTTCCATCGCGGGGGAAGGTTTGGTTGCCAGGGCCGTGTCCCCGACGACGTGCTCGGGTGACGCGCTGCTGTGGCTGCTGTTATTGTATTTGTTGTTGTTGGTGGTGGAGTTGGTTTTTTAGTGGTGTAAGTGGTGCTGGTGGTGTTGATGGTGGCAATTGTGGTAAGGCAGGACACGCAAACATTGCACTTTTCAAATAAACGTGTTGTATCTTGTTAATGGAAAAGTAATACATAGAAAAACTTTGTTCTATCTCCAGCCGTTTACGAAATCCAGAAATAACCGCGAAAGTGTAACGTTTGCGTGCCCTGCAGTGGTGGTGGTGATGGCGGTGGGTGTTGCGGTGTTGTACTACAGTCCTGCTGCGAGGGCTGCCTAAGTGGAAGCCGTGTCTCTTGTAAGTCTCCCCACCATCAATCCGAATAACGCGGTCGAGTGAGGCCCCCGCCGTGGGATGTACCGCCGCGCCGCCGTACCGATGTAACGCGGCGGGCCGCAGCTGGCATCACGCCGTGGAACCCGTCGTGGCAGGCAGCGCGACGCGGCGCGACGCAGCGCTGGGTCGCAGGCGAGGCGACGCTTACGCTGAATTCTCAATGCGACCGCGATTGAATATTAAACGCGCGCCTTTGTCGCCGTCCCGCGCGCCGGTTCGCTCCGTCGTCCTTCTCTCTCGCGCTCGCGGCGCGATCCCTGGGGATGCGAGAGAGACAGAGCGCGTCGCGGCGAGTCAGTCCGACCCGACCCGACCCGCGTGGCGCTGCAGCGCGCTGTGCGACGAGGCGGGCGAGCATGCATTAGCGGCAATGTGACTCGGTTCTCGTCGCCATCACCATTCCATCGGCGTGCAGCAACGCACTGCGCGTCGCGGCACTGCAGGCTGGCCCACTGGGAGGTGTGCCACGCCCCACTGTGCTTGGGCGGCCTGCCAGGCGGCACGCGGGCTGAGCGACCGCAGATACTTTAAGCCCTGAAATAGGAACCAACTCCAACCGAACGCATCCCACAGTCAGTTGGTCCGTCGTCCGACGGGCCGTCCATTGATAGTATCAGCAGTAAAGACGGACCGCCACCGCGAGCCGCCAGCGCCGATGCTGCTACACTATCAAAGTTTGGTCGAAGGCCACCGGGCCCTGGAGCGTGTCCGCCTCGTGTCCGCCCGACTGACCTTCCGCGGGGCGGTTCCGCAGAGTGGCGTGGTGGCTCCGTCTCCCTTGCACCGCGCCGGGACGCCCCGTGAGTGCGAGAGAGACAAAGTGAGTCCTCGGAATCGTCCTTTCTGGGCCACGGCGGCCACGGTGCTGGCGGGCGCGGTGCAGCGCTGGAGGCGAGATTTAATTTTTGTTTCCTTGCCGCCCGCCTTTCCTTGTCCCGGCGCTTAGAGGCTCGACACGCTAATGCAATAACGCGGCCTCGCCGTCTTCATTTCGGCCTCGGCCGCGTCCAATACGACGCGTGGCAGAGGCCGCGCCGTCCTCCGTCGCCGAGACAGACAGAATGGAGAGCTTTCGCGGCGCGGGGGCGCTGCCGCGTGGAACAGAGAGGACGCCGCCGTCGCCCCTCGC